TAGGACAGAACCTTGGGTGATGCCCACATTTAGGAAATGTGATATGGATTTTTGAGCCAGTAGAGATTAAGAGCAAGTGGTCAGACAAGTAGGAGGAAAACCAGGAAAGAGAAGTGTCATGAAAACCCAGAAAAGAGAGAATGCCCAGGAAGGGAGGGTGGTCAACAGTATCAAATGTAACAGATACTTCAACAACAACAACAACAAAAAAGATGAGGACTAAGACCATATTATCTGATGGACAAAAAGGGATCATTGGTAACTCCCACTATAAAACTCCTGTAGTATGGCCAGAGCTAGATTAAAATGAAATTGGGAAATGTTGAACAAAACAAATAAAAATACAACACAACATAGATAAGGTTAGTTTGTGGTTTTCTAAATCAATATGCAGGGGAATGTTCCTATTTAAATCAGATTTCATTTGGGGGCAGCTAGGTGGCGAAGTAGATAGACCACCGGCCCTGAAGTCGGGAGTACCTGAGTTCAAATCCGGCCTCAGACCAAACACTTGACACTTACTAGCTATGTGACCTTGGGCAAGTCACTTAACCCCGATTGCCTATTAAATAAATAAATAAATAAATCAGATTTCATTTAAAACAAATTAGCTCTCTGCCTCTATTCCCTAGATTCCTGTTCCCTTTCAAGAACTAAGCAGTCCTAACATTTAGAATGCAGGCTAGGTTTTCAACTTATTTTGCCAGACAGTCCACAGCTATCAGCTATATAACTCACTGAGATAATACGGCATATATAGAAGAGTACTGCACTGGAGACTGAAAGAAACCCAGGTTTGAATCCAGGGCCAACATATAATCATTTTGTGTGTTCTTTGGCAAACCTCTCATCCTTTTTAGGCCTGTTTTCTGTCAGGTAGAATGAGATTAATAATACCTCCCAGGGTTGTTGTGAGGACTGAATGAGATAATGTATACAAAGTACTTTGCAAACCTTAAAGAATTATGTACCAGGATCATAGATACAGAGCTAGAAGGGAAGGAATTCTGAAGCCATCTCGTCCAATCCCCTCATTTTACACCTGGGGAAACTGAGGCTCAGGAGGGTTAAGTGATTTGCCCAATGTCACATGCATAGTAAATGTCAAAGGTGAGGTTTAAGCTAGGTGGTACAGTTGATAGAGTGCTGGGCCTGAAGTCAGGAAGACTCATCTTCCAGAGTTCAAATCTGGCCGCAAACTCTTACTAGCCGTGTGACCCTGGGCAAGTCACTTAACCCTCGATGATGATAATGAGCTCGAGAAGGAAATGGCAAACCACTCCTGTATCTTTACTAAGAAAACCCCACATGAGGGTCACCAAAAGTCAGACTCGACTGAAAATGACTGAATAACTCATGTGAAGGAGATACACTTTTCTCTCTAATAAGCAGTTATTTCCAGTTAGAATCTTATCCTTTAGCAGCAGCAGGGCCCTGCCCTGAGCCAGTGGCTGGGGGAAAGATTATCATTCCTTCCCAGCAGCTGGGAGCTTTTGGAGGCTAAACAATGAGGGCTCCTTTTGATAGCTCATACCTCTCTCACTAGCATTTGCCCTTCCCAGTGACACCCAGCCCAGTTATATGCTCTAGGACCTTTTCTTAAACATTCTGGGTGACTATTCAAGTCTGTGAAGATTTAAAATAAAAATATTACTGTCCTACCACATCCTGAGACCAGGCCTCTTCCTGTGCCAACAAAGTGATCATCGGAAACAAGATTTTTTTTCTCTTAAAGGTCTTATTTTAAAACCTTTACTTCTTACTTAAAAACCACCTAATTTCTTTCTTTCTTTTTTTTTTTAAGGCAACTGGGGTTAAGGGACTTGCCCAGGGTCACACAGCTAGTAAGTGTCAACTGTTTGGTCTGAAGCCGGATTTGAACAATACAGAATATATATATTTTTTTAATTTGTGGTGAGGCAATCGAGGTTAACACAGCTAAGTATCCTGTGTCTGCAATGGGATTTGAACTTAGGTCCTTCTGACTTCAGGACAGGTGCTCTATCCACTGCGCTACCTAGCAGGCTCTAAGTAGTATTTTTTTTTTTTGGCTAGGCAAATGGAATGTTATAGATGGACTTTTTTTCCTTTAAATTGTGTGAATTCCTATGAGTTTTCTCTTATGATTTCAAACCATCTTCTCAAATTAGTGGATTAATTTTCAGATCCATCAATAGTAGAGATCTTGACAAGCTAAAAATAATTAGGCTGAATCTAACAAGATGAAATTTGATTAGGATAAATGTAATTCTCATACCTGACTTAAAAAATCTACTTCAATACAGAACCGGAGAGCCATGAAGGACGTACGTGGTAGAGAAGTCAAGGCATTGGGTACAGACAATTTGTTCAAGAAGTTTGGCAATAAATGATCAACAGTCAATAATAGCCAATCAATACTTATTAAGTGCCTACTATATTCCAGGCACTGTGCTAAGCACTGGGGACACAAATAGGAAAAAGAAAGATAGTCCTTGCCCTCCAGTAGTTTACAATCTATTGGGGGTAAGAAAATACAAAAGAAAACTGAAAACTTCAGATTAGGAGGCTAGGGAAGGTACAGCTGATATCTACCCTCTCACTTGGATTTCTTGTGAGAAGGTCTTCTATGTTTCATATGGTTTTGGGGCAGCTATCAGGGCCAGGAAAGAGAACTTAAAAAAGCAATAAACATATGGAATTTGGGTTGAGGTAAGGTAAGGTCCAGAGGGGGAATCTATGAGAAAGGACTATGAGGTTAGCTTGGTATAACCAAAACATATCACCTAGGAATAAGTGCTAATTTAAAGGAGGCAGTATGAAGGAAAGAATGCCACACCTGGAATCTGGAAGATGTGCATTGGAATTCTGTCTTTAATGCTTCTTAGCTTTGTGAGAAGTCTGTAAACCTCCATTTTTTCACCTGTCTAATAAGGATAACATTATCCCTGTAATACTAGCCTTACAAAGTTGTTGTGAGGCTCAAATGAGCCAATATATAGAATCCTAAGGTGCTGTCTAAATTTCAGTTTATAGAAGCTGATAGGGATAGGGACCATACCTGGGATTTCCCTGGCATAGGGAATGGTTGAAGAAATGTACCTTCTCTGCAACTAAGAATCATGGAGTTGCCTAGTTCAGTCCTTTTTTCAGTTGTGTCTGGCTCTTCCTTACCCCATTTGGAGTTTTCTTGGCAAAGATACCAGAGTGGTTTGCCATTTCCTTCTCCTGCTCATTTTACAGATGAGGAAACTGAGGCAGACAGGGGTAAGTGACTTGCCCAGGTCATACAGCTAGTAAGTGTCTGAGGCCAGATTTGAACTGAAAAAGATGAGTCTTCCTGACTCCAGGAGTGGCACTTTATCCCCTGAATCATCTAACTGCCCCCAGAATTGCCTAGAGCACTGAGGAGAAAGGAATATAACCAAAACAAAAAAAACCCAATTTTAATTTCAAATATGAGGGGATTAAACTCAATAAAGTAAATGAATGTCAGAATGACCAAAATAAATAAAATTACTCTTACTCTTTTACCAAATGTATAAACACACACACCGAGAGAATAGTCTATTGTTGATTTATTTCTACAGAATCGACCACCTTTGGTGGGATAATGGACAGTCAGGAGTGTAACAGTCAGTTTAACACCAAGTGCCTGCTGGGGTGAGGGAGAGGGGCCATCAGGAGGTGAACAAAAGGGGAACACTAGAATTGGAAGGGGCCTCAGAAGCTAGTCTAAACTCTTTCTTTTTATAGATAAGGAAGTTGAGGCCTGGAGGTTATGACTAGCTAAAGGAGGAAAAAAAGGGTTGGTAAGTTGCCTAAGAAAACTGATAACACTGTAATTTTGCCCAGGAGCCATTATGACATATTTCCTACCATGGAGTACCATTCTGGCAAAGCCTTTAGCAAACCCTGTATCCAAAATTTCTGTCCAGTTGCATAAATGCACAGCATTCTATATTTGGAGTTGTTCTTGATTTTAGCAGCAATTTATGTTGTTCATAAATAAGATTACCAAAGAGTGTTTCCTTATAGCACATAAGAAATCAGTGAGTTGGTCCAAATAACCTATGATTCATCAAGCCCATGCTTAGGTGGCTGAGAAGGCCCTGGGAATGGGAATCGGATAGACCTGAATTCAAATTCTACCTCAGAACCTTACTAGCAGCGTGACCCTAAGCAAGTAATCACTCTCAGCCTGTTTTCTTTATTTGTAAACTATTGGGAAGAATTGGATGTGGGGCCTTATGAAGTCCTTTCCAGCCATAAATTATGATATTACCGTGCTAGACCCTGGGGTTACAAGTACTAAGAATTTACATGCTAGGTGCCAGGATGAAATAATCCCTATTTTGCAAAGCAGTAACAAAGGGCCTCTTCTTCCAGATTTTTCATCTCGACTGACTTCCTTGGAGAACTGGGGGAAACTACCACAAAATGAAACCAATCTTAAAACAATCCTAGAAAGCAATATGCCCCGGCCGGTGCATTTCTTTTCCTTTACAAGTACTCAGCATTTAAGAGGCTGGGCCAGCCAACATCGTCTCCTCATAAGAGAGTTAAATGCTCACAGGTGGAGGGGTCTACACGTTCAGAGAGAAACCCGGAGTTCATTTCAAGTTTTGGGCTTTCTACGAAGGATCCGCAAAACCCTGGGGAAGCATTCGGTTAAATTGGTCAGCAACCTGGGAAATCTAGATCAACCTGGCCCCTCTCCCCCTCAACGCCAGGATCCTGCTGCCACCCTGATCACCTTTTCCCTTGCATCTGGGCATGCATTTATTAAGCGCCTACTGTGCAAAGCGCTGGGAGACGGACCGTGCTCGGGGCTGGCCGCCGGCCCAGGAGGGAGGGCTAGCGAGCACGCTGACCGGTTGGGAATCAGGGGGAGGAGCCGCCGGCTCCTTGGAAGACGCCCCTCCGCGCCATTCGGTGCCCCTCGCCCCCCGGGGGAGGCGGAGCCGCGGGGTGCCGGGACCGGGGCAAGCGCCGGAAGAGGAAGCCTTGAGCTTGGTCCTGGGAAGCAGCGGGGGGCTGCGGGGGGCGGACAGGTGCCCCGCAGCGGGGCGGCGATGCGGGGCTGCTGGGACGCCCCGGGCTGGCGAGGCTCGTGAGCCAACATGGGGCTGCTCGGGTCCCTGCACCTGGCTCTCTTGGGGCTGGGGTTGGTGCTGGCTAGTGCGGCGGAGACCCCGGTGAACTCCAGCGTAGGTAAGGAGCGAGCCGGGGCCCCGGGTGGGAGTGGGGCCTGCCATTGCAGCTGGGACTTTAATATATGTATATTTTGCGCCGTGCTAATTCATTATTTCTTGCAACGAAACATATTTTATATTTTATTTTAAAACATTACAAAATGCTATATTTTAAAATGGTCACGTGCATTTTAAAAGGTTTGCTGGGTGATCCGAAATGAGCTTCTTAGGGAGGAGAAGGGACCGGGGCCTTCGTTTCCACCCTGGGAAGAAAGATCAGTTGCTTTCAGAAAGGGCTCTGGCCTCCGGGAAGGCTCTGCTGAGCCCAGTCCCCGCTGCCGGTACAAGAAAGCCGGGGCAGAAGCTTGAGAATCCTTCTCCTCTGGCTCTTTTTCCCGGGAACCTGGTATCCCAGGGTCTGGATCAGCCATGTTTCTGCCTTTTCCATGCCATTTCTCCAAACTGGGGCCCGGACCTTAGTTTATTTCAGGTGCAGAAATAACGGGGTTAGGGCCCCTCGAGAACGCAGAGGTAACCCCAAATGTGGAGCCTCCAAGTTACATCTTAGAGCAGTCATTTCAAGGAATTTGCTATGTCTAGAAAAGTCATGCAGAGGATTGGTCTTTATAAATTGTGTCATGTGCTTTGGTGCATGGAGTCAGACAATTCCTGGTTTGTTCCTTTTTTCCCTCCCCTTCATACTATTTGGGGGAGAGATCATCAGAATCCTTTAAACACTGTTAACTTGCTTTAGCTATTTGGGGCTTGAAGGAGTATCTTTAATGCAAGCAAATGAAACAATCAGAACAATTTAAATTTCAGAGATGCCCAGCTTTTGCAAAACTGAGTTGTACCATCGGGAATGCTAACTTTTTTTGTGCATTGCTTTGTCTCAAGAAGATGAGGTTATATTTATACTACAAAGCAGTTTATAAACATATCACAAGACCTTTGGTGTAGTGCTTCAAAGCCTTAGAAATCCTCACATTAAATCTTTGATGCCCCTGTGGCAAAGCACATGGTGGTATTTTATCCTGATCTTGTATGTTAAAAACTAGCTTGTTAAAGATTACTCGTCTGTCTAGTGATGCAGGCAGGGCTGGAGGCTCCTAACCTAGTGCTGTTTCTATTATATCAGGAACAAGATGTTATACACAACCCTTCAAAGCTAAAAAAAAAAGCCAAACAAACCCAAAACTAATTAGAAGCACTTGGCATTTTTTTTTTGTAGAAACTTGGCATTATTTTTAACCTGAAAGAGTTTGCTCAAGAACTGAATCAAAAAGCTGTTAATTAATACTTGATGCAAGAGACTTCCTGGCTTTAATGGAAAGAGAGCTCACCCCAGTCTGGAAGACTTGGGTTTAAGTCTCCCTTCTGACACATAATTTGCCTTTGATCTTAATCAATCCTTACTTTTTACTGTTCTAGGCACTTTGCTAACTAAAACCAATTTGCAGAGAGGTTGCTGATCTACATAGTAGAGGAAGTTTCTTACATCATCGAAGTCACAGGTCTATTCTTCCCCAGCATATAAAACCCTTCCACCAAAACCAACAGCGCCATGACATTTGAGCGTTGCTGAAGCTTTCTGATATTTTCCTTCTTATCCCTTCATCTGGATTCCCTATGGCATTTCTTCTGGGCCCTTCTTGCATTTCCTTAAGAGGGAACTTAACTATACCCACTGTTAAGTAACCAGACCTATTTTGACATGTATATGTGAGCTAAAGGTGAATAAAGAAAATTAATAAAGACCTTAATTTAGCGCAAGCATTATCAAGAGTTTTATGCATCTGGTAAAACCAGAGTCTGAGGTGGAAATGCCAAGTCCGTAACAACTGGCACTTAGAATGCCTTCCCAACAATGTTATTGCTGCCTAAAGAGAGGTAGGTGTTTGAAATGGGCTGTGCATCTTAGAGTGGTGGGGTTGATCGTAAAACTGGTGGCTGGATTCTTTAGGTTAGGTAGCCTCATGCCTGGCATTTGAACCATTGGCAAAGTATTATTTCATTAGTGCCTCAGATGTCTTTATTACAAGTTTTTATTAGCCCTGCTTTGTAAATGAGGAAATTCATGGAAGGTACTTAAGTAACTTGCCAAGGTCACACAGTATCCAAAACTGAAGTTTTCAGGACTTGAAGTCCAGTACTCCATCCACTAGGATGGGGTGACTTATAGTTTATAGACTCTTAGCTGGTCAGTGAGTCAGTGACCTATCATTAATTAAGTGCTTACTATGTGCCCAGCCCTGTGTTAAGGCTGGAGAATAGAAAGAAAGGCAAAAGACAGTTAGTAAACATTTATTAAGAGTTTACTATGTGCCAGGCACTATGCTAAGCACTGGGGATCCAAAAAGGAAAAAACAGAGGTATACTGTCCCTGCCCTTAAGAAGCATACCATCTATGAGAGAAAGACAACATACAAAAGAAGGCTTTTGATTGGTACGTGGGGAGGAAGTACAGGACTAGGAGTATGGTGTGGAAGTCTTTAAGAGAAGTTCCAAAGTAGTTCAGCCAGATGAGAAAGGAGAAATCTGAGTTGGAGGTTGGAGTTCATGGTCCCACTGTCCAGTCAGACAAGAGGGTAGTAATTTGGTGTAGAACCACAGCTGATGAGATCTCTTAGAGGATGATGAGGTTGGCCCAATAAAGAGCTTCCTGGCACATGGTAGAAAAGTCTCTGCTCTCAAATAGCTCATAATCTAGTAATCTAGTGCAAACAGCTATGTACAAACAAATATATGTGTGTGTATATATATATATATATATATATATATATATATATGTATGTATATATATGTGTGTGTATATATATATGTATATACACCCCCCCAATTTGTCAATTTATCCTCTCTCTCTCTCTCTCTCTCTCTCTCTCTCTCTCTTTCTCTTTCTGTCTCTCTGTATGTGTGTGTGTATATATATGTATATATATATATATACATATATATGTATATGATAAATTGTGGGTAATATCAGAGGGAAGGAAAGGGGGGTGGATAGAGTGCTGGTTTTGGAGTCAGGAAGACTCATCTTCCTGAGATCAGATCTGGCCTCCAACACTTACTAGTGGCTGTGTTTGCCTCGGTTTCCTTATCTGTAAAATGAACTGGAGAAGGAAATGACAAACCACTCCAGTATCTTTGGCAAGAAAACCCAGATGGGGTCACAGAGTCAGACCCAACTGAAAAATGACTGAACAACATTAGAGGGAAGACACTAAGATTAAGGGGGACTGGGAAAAGCATATTATAGAAGGTGCTCAAATTATGTTTTATGATAACTTTGAGTGGGAGAAAGCCTTACATAGGGTAGGTGATATGGAGTATTAGGCAGGCATTTATAGCTAATTAAAAATGCATAAATTTTCCCCAGATTTCATCAGTCTGATAGTCTACAGAGGTGAGGAACCTCTGGCCACATGTGACCTTCTAGGTCCTTGGGTGTGGCCTTTTGACTGAATCCAGGTTTTACAGAACAAATCCTTTCATTAAGGGGATTTGTTCTGTGAAGTTTGGATTCAGTCAGAGGGCTGCACTTGAGGACCTAGGAGGTCACATGTGACCTCAAAACTGCAGATTCCCCACCCCTGGTCCTCTCTCCAGAGTTTTTACTAAAGTTAAGAAGTAGCTTTGTAATAATTCCTTCTATTAACCCTATTCTCTTTCTCTTGTATGATGATGATAGCAGTTCCCATTCACCTCGAACTTTGATATAGATGCTAATTAGCAATGAAACATGCCAGAAGCATATTTTCTCTGTTGTGCTTTTCTTCTTTAGTCTGTTTATAGTTAAATTTTTATAACTGTATATTTTGAATCTCCAAACTTCCAGTTTTCACACTGAACATTTATATGCTATATTAAGAATTTTTTATATTTTTGTTATTTTGTATGTTATATTAATATTCTAATATATTATATTTAATTATATATTTTATATGTAATATATTTATATCTATATATCATAGTGATAATATATTTTTGTATGTTATATTAAGACATTTTTATGTTGAGGTTTTTATTTTGCATAAATATTCCAGGATTGATGTCCTTTAAATTCTCAGAGTGTGATCGTATTGATGTCCTGAAACAGCAGGCTCATACAATGGAAAGAACAGTGGGTTTGGAATTAATGGGCCCAAGTTCAGCTCTTGGTAAGGTCGCTTTACCAGCTCTGTGACCCCGGACAAGTCACTGGGTCTTATTCTTTGGGCCTCGGTTTTCTCATCTGCAAAATGAAGGGCTTGGAATAGTTGGTTTCTAAGCTTCAAATCCTGCTCCAAATCTAAGATCCTTTGATGCTGTGTGTAGAGAGATAATATGTGGCTGTTCTCTTTCCCCAATAGAAGAGATTCTGACAGTTAGAATCCTTTTGTTAACAAATCCTTTTACTAAGGGGATTTGTTCTGTGAAGTTTGGATTTGGTTAATGAGTCACACTTGAGGACCTCAAGGGCCACATGTGGCTTGGAGGCCGCAGGTTTCCCATCCACATGCTTTTTCATGCTGTGTAACTCTTGGCCACATGGTCCAGTAAAAGTCTTCATAGAGGGTCAATCCATTGTGATTTATGTCAGGACATTGGCCAGAGTTCCACGGGATAGGAGATTGCAGTCTGTATTGATGGAGTGAATTGTGCTCACGTCTGTGATCCCTTTAAAGTGTCTTCCCAGTGAGGGTCAGGCCCAGACCCTTACCTATATCCATGATATCTGCGCACAGTTGAAAAATTGGATCTTTTCCATGGTAGGGTCCAGGAGCGCCTCCCAGCTCCTACTGGGCAATAAGCTAAGAAGCTCAAGAGAGGTTAGGGTAGTATCTTACTTCATTTTTGTGCCTGCGACATCCAAGCACAGAGCCTTGCACATTTTAATAATTTTACTAGACTTGTGATTTCTTTGGCAGAAAGATCTCCCAATCAAGAAACTGTCTATTAAAGCACTTTTATTCTTGCTCTTTATCTTATGCTTTTAAAGAGTTGCCTTAACAGGAGGGGGGATTCTGTGGCCTTCAG